CTTATTGTATACCTTTCTTTATGACATATATTGTTTGTAACATGTTTCTGTAAAACAAACACATTCTAATGATAATATTATGATTCTGATAAAGTAAGTTTAACCAGTACTGTGAAACAGATAATATACTATGAGTTAATATATCTTGGTTAATTAGTGCACAGCTAAAATCACTTTTTGAAGGAAACACACATATTATTTGATGAGAAATTTATGATAAATCATTCTATTCATGTTATTTAATGATCTGATTAAATAGCGGTACTCTTTAATGATGAAACACATTTATACAAAAACCAACATTAGTTATTTCGTGATATCTCTATGGATTTTTTCACCTTATATGCAGTTATTAACTACTGGTTTAAAAGAATATTTTAAAGAAATATATTAAATTCTGTCACATAAATTAGAAGTTATTTAATGACTGCTATGTGATTTGTTCCTAACTGTGGACAAATAGTTATTGGGGAAGACCAAATTGTTGTTTCATGCAACATTACAGAGTGCTTTAGCAAAACATGGAAACCATACATTAAATATATTATTTGCACATTTTCCTTCACTTGTCTGTCACATGCTCCGTGATTTTTTCAATTCTGTTCTTATTACAGTTGCCCTCTATTTGCATTTCTGTTCTCTTCAATCGAATCTTCTCAATCTTCTACTGACAATCATTCTACTTCTGATTTGTGTTACATACTACTTATGTCAGTCAACATAAGTAGTATACATCACACAACTACTCTACACACATATACAGTCTGGTTAAAATGTTAACTAAGTGATGCGGAAGCACTTAACCTCTGGACTATTGAGCTGAAATCCAATGACGTGACTGTCTAAATTCAATCAATTCACAATATTTCGCGTTGGATAACTGGCTCACACGCGATATGAATAAAATCCACTAGTCACTAAGGTCAGATTAGATAAGCTTTTAGTTTGAACTAGGAAAATTCTACAATACACAGAAAACTCTATGTTGACAGTCAAAATTAAGTAAATAAGTTAATCTGGTTATTGAATTCCTTATATTTATGATCTTGAAAGTATCCAGATCACACGAAACAAAACTATACAGTAATTACCTATAATTCATATTGTTCTGAGTTGAATAGCACATTAATTAAACTCCAAATCATACAGTTACATAGATAGTTGCAATTAATACTACCAAAGTTTGACTCGATAATTTCAAATACAGTGAATTGTTTGTAATAAAGAAATAATAGTATAAATTCTGATGATTTAAGACATGGTATAAGTTTCTTCGTAGGATAAATAATCTATTTCGAATTAACGCGAATTTAAATGATACGGATAAAAGAATTAAAAGTTAGTGTAATGATATATATATATATATATTCTATATGATCATGTATATGGTACTGTTGGTAAAAGTATGTTATACAAATGAGCCCATCAGAGTTGAGGAAACGACATTTACGTTTTCGATCTAATTTTGAGAATATGTGATTTTTATATTATTTCACGTATGACGTACAGTATAAATGCCTTAGTATGGTGTAACAATGTTTAAACATAAAAACTTACTTGTTACCATACAGTTGAAGTAATAGTGTTAGATATACCAAATGCCTAATTCTCGAAATGTAGCATGTATATAACTTCCAAATCAACCTTACTCTTAAATTTTAACAGCGAACTCTTAATGCTGACCTAAACCTTAGATCATGAACCCTAAATTCCTAACCCTAATCCCCTCCCAATTCATAAAGCTACAAAGTTTTCTTGTATCATAGCTAATAATAATCACCTTTAATCTTAAATCCTAACACTAATTTCTAATCCAGGAACAATTTATTTAGTCCTAAAATTCGTTTTTCGACCTTATAAGTGTCTGAAAAAACGTGTTGTATACGAACAGATAGAAAAAGCTTGGAAAACTTCAACTGTCTCACTAAATATATGAAATCTGTCCACTCTATGTTATACTATTATGTTTTTTTCATCATAAACTATTTGTTCACGAAAGGTGTTTTTTTTGATTGACTGAAAACTGGCTAAAAAATTTGTCATGGTTATTGTACCCTCGTCCATATGTTTTACCGTTTTTGCATTAGTTGCAAAATAAAGCGGAATGAAAAGTCCTTAGTTTAAAATTTAAGAAAAACAAACAACTTGACAGTTGTTCACTTCCATTACATTTTAATAACAGCGATATATTATTGTATGAAATAGATTTCTACTAAAATCCAGTCAAGAATTTCAATGAACAAAAGAATATAAGTTCTTTTAATGTATGTGAACACTAATTTTCTATATGGTGTTCATTTCTAATACTTCTCTGTTATATCTGCATTTACTTAAACCTGACTTGAAACACAAACAGTACTCATACTATTATTTAAGCCAGTTTGATAGAAAACACAATCATACATATACTGATTAATTTTTTGATACAGTAGAATAATAGACAATATGAGATATGTTATGTAACCTGGAAATTGCATAATATCCATTTGCATTAATATTAAATAATAGTTGAGGTTATTTTCCTATACGTCAAGTTGCAGACTACGCTTAAAAGTAATCTCAAGATAGAAAAAATAAGTAAGAATGTAACTTAATAGATAGATGTGTCACTCAACTTCGTGGATTAGTTGAAGTTAGACATTAACACCATTGGATACCGGCTCAGTGGTCTAGTGGTTAAGTGCTCGCGTGAGAGACCACTAGGTCCTGGGTTCGAACCTCGCAGGGGGCAAGGTCGTGGATGTGCACTTCTGAGGAGTCCCACAATAGGACGAAACGGCCGTCCAGTGCTTTCAGGTTTTCCATTGTGGTCTAGCTTCAACTGACTCATGATCTTAACCATTAAAATTACTATGATGTCCACAAAACCCGTCTGAGATAGAATTTGATCAAAACTAAAATACGATTCGATATAAATGACATTAGTCACCTTTCAATGATCAATCAATTCTAAACACATTATACTAAGTGATGAGTCCTAAACGAACATGTAACTTGAGTTCGATGATTATGGGGATTCCAAAAATTTGTTTGAACAAATCACTCTTCAATCACAGAAACATATTTTATTTGCAAAAATGTTTTATCCTACTATAGAATTTAGACGTAAAAATACCGATTAAAAGAATATACTTCATAAATGATCAATATGAATAGAATTACATCGGTTAGTAACTTTTAGAAAAGTAACACTAACAATACTCTTAATAATACTTCACTTTATAGACCATTAACATTGCTTCTTTTCTTCCTATTAAAAAAAGAATTTACTCATTATCATGTGGTAACATTTTTATCGAATTAAACATTCGAAATGTACAGATAATGAATCTGTCACTCGGCGATATAAACTATAAGTTTAACAATCTCAGCCAACCTTCTATATCGATAATAATCTTGTGTTAGCCAGTGACTAACATAGAGATGAATTCTCAAAATTCTTCTGAAAAATGGCAAAATATGGAATTCGGCCATGTTTGGTATAAGAATCAGCGATGGTAAGAGATTATGGATGTGCAGCATTGTAAATTGATTAATTTAATGAAGAACCTTAGAAAGCAGCAAGATGATAACAATTTACAGTAAAATGAATTGAAGATAAACTGTTATAATATCTACAAACAAAATCTGATACAATTACAAAGAAATTCTTCCTAAAATGACGACGCAAACTGATTTACATCACTAAATATTTGGATAAATTTTAAATCTTATTTGACAAAACAAAGCATTAAAAGAGTGTAGGAATGTCAATGTCAAAAGACTTAATTATTACGATGAAAATCACTATCTACAAAAGATTATCCCTCCATTGGTAAAAACATATTCTATTACTATATGATTTAATTTGTTCGGTTAGACATTCAAATAAGTAAACAAAATTTTCAACGAAACTGTTTGGCTGAAATTATCTAGTTATTCATATTAGATTCAATGAATATCCAATCTATTCAACAAGGTCTTTGATGTTATGAATCAATGAATAAAATAAATACTATATATAAACTACTAAATAGTTGAGATTTACGTAAATCAAATGATAAAAATTACCTCCGAAATCACAAGGGTCTGAGATGTGGTAAGAAAGGAAGTAACTCAGTACTAGTATGAAATCAACCGAAGAACCATTACTTAATCAAGATGCATTGAACAGCTTTCAAGTCAACTGAAAGCTTCTTAACAATGAATACATCCAAAACCTACAGATCTGGTTGTTGGCATGATAACTCAAAGCCATCGAAATCAAAATCCGATTATTCAAATCGATGACCATCTTCGAAACACTACAAAGCGCTTGGTTAAACATTAATGTTAAACATTAATGTGACTGCTCATAGTTAGTGTTCAGAATAAATATTTGAGATTATTTTGACATATTTTAAAGGTAAGAACTTGACTGTAATAAAATAACTATTCAAACTTAGACAACCAACTATCAGGTACTTAAGTCATAGTTCTAATTACCATAGGGAAAAATTAACTAGAAAAAGTGAATGAGTACCTGTAGTTGGAAAATCTGAAAGTTTGTAAGAACTAGACAGAAATTGATGATATAGAAGGATAAAAACATACGCGGTTACCATTATTATTTTCGGTTAAGAGGAAGACACAAAAAGTAAACGCATACGCTCTGCTGCCAACGACTTTCAGTCGTATAGTATGATCTCAGACATAGTTTATTGCGAACTCTAACTACGATTTCTACATGTTTTTATACATTTTAAATCATCATTCAGCCTCTCCATGATCTATTGTTATATATTTCTCTGACAATGCTTTATTATTTTCCGATTTAATTTCCCATCCTGTAACAAAACACAGTGATTGTTAACTTGCCATTCGTGACTTGTGTACCTCTCAGTTCAATAGCTGTATACTTACAGCGTTAATTATCAATTTATTATCCCTATTTGGAAATAAAACACACCTCTAATCAATAAGATACGTCTGAATAAATTCATTATATGTTTCTTAAAACAGTGATATCATTTTCGACTTACCGTATCTTCAGTTGTTTCGAAATCAAATGTTGTAGAAATATTCACTGATCTTGTAGCATTAATGAATGTATTTAAATCATCCTCTTTTATGGCATTAATTATTGGTCTTAAGTGTCCTTTTGCTGATGAATTATGATTTTTACTGATCATTATCCGGCTAAAAGAATGTAGTATAAGTTATTTGTTATGATAGGATAGATTATTGATGTTTCCACAATCGGGCTTTGTTAGGTATGTATTTGTCCAAGTTTTATTTTATTATAATATTAATTTAATGAAATCATATTATCTTGCAAATAATGACTTATATGTATACATATAATATATATCCAGCCTTCTGAATAACACAATGTGGATCTAAACTTCTAATTAAATGTACATATTCATACACATCTATATATGTATGTGGTAATATTATAATTATGTTTGCATATATATGTGTCGTGTTTAAGATTCCAAAGTATCACGAGGTCTGATTTTTTGATCAGGCTTTCACTCTATCATACCCAAGCATACACAACAATAGCTACACCTATTAACTTATTTGTTCATTTGAACTAACACCAATATGTTCACATGTCCTGTCATCATCATTCGCCTACCCACGCAGTATTCAATTAGTATATATATATATATAAATCATACTAATCTAATTAACCAATCTTACGTTTATTTTACTATTTACAATTTGATTTTATCACAGAAAAAAATTTAATTCTTTTTCTGTGTGCAATAAATTGTTTTACAACATTAGTGCCAAAATTATTTATTTATTTGTTTTCAGATTAATGGCTATTTACATTAATAACTAGTAGTAATCATAAAAATAACAATGAACATCAGTGAGAAATAAATATTTACTAAGTTTTTCAGTTTTCTAATACATTAAACTGATTGATTTTTGTAAGTAATTAAAACCATATGACCACCAAAAATGGAGTACATGATTTATGAAAGCACTAAGTTCACTTCTTCCGTTCAAACTGTAATCGTTATAATGTATTCTGGTATTTAAGCTAGTCAATATACATATCAGCTGTTGAGACTTTAATTAGTTTATAGGTACGCCGAAAAGCAAGCACACTAACTGATCATTGAGTAATTACAAGTATCTAGTCATTAGTATTGATAGAAGTCTACCTATCAATGGGACGTCTGACCACGGTTCACGTTTCTGATGTTAGGTAGTTGGAAGCAAATGTAATACCTAACTATATAATGTTTGGGCCTCATTTCTACGTAATCAATAAATTTGGTGGATATTACTTGTTATATCCGAGCGAAGATTAAATCACGAGTAAATTCTGGGACACATTAATTGACTAATATTATCTATATATTCTTATGGTATAATTATTCAATAATTATATTATGTATATGTATATTCCTCTTATTATAAGCTTCATTTTGACCTATAATTTACTTTTGTACGATTTACTGTTCGTAAGCTGTGTTCAGTTTATTGACTACTGCCTCCCACGTTCACAGCCACTTTTTGGCTTTATTGTGTACAAATGTTATTTCCTATTTTATGGTGCGTTGTGGTCTGTTTGGTTGATATATAAACCCAGTATGTCTGAAATAAATGATTCGATTTGATCCGCATATTGGAAGCTGATATTGGTGTTCTGGACTCAAGTGGACGGGCTAGGCGGACATAGGACCAATAAGGACGCTAGACTGCCCATACCGGTCGGACGTCATTGGTTTGACACAGTGCTAAGATTGTATAAGTCGTATTTTGATTGGTGGATAAATCACGTGATAAAAAGCTGGACATAAAGTCATAACATTACTAATTGGACCTTAGTTATTTCTACGTGGAGGACTAAGTTTATCATATTAATCGAGTAGGTGGTGAGTCTCAATCCAAATATCTGAGTGATGACACCTCTAAATATATCAGTGTTTCCTCGAGATGATAAATATGTCCTACTGAGGAGTGATAACCAACATGAAACCTGGATTCATGGCTTACTGCTTATCAATTCAGTCATCTAACATGAAGACCAGGTACATTGAAAGTACACGCATTAAATTTCGATCATTCAGAGCGCCCAATAACAGTAATACCTCGATTATGTATCATCCGCTGAATACCTCACCTGATATAATTGTAATGAGTGCTAATATATTAAAATATATTACTTAAAAAGCTAAGTACTAAACGGCTATTTCATCTGAACCTTAAAATATCCTTCAGTCCATGATCAAAATCTTATTCGGTATCAGACGCACGATCTCAAGAATTAAGACACAAATACTAGAGACTTCAATATATAACTAGATGTTTAATAGATGCATTACAAAATACATTAATTAAATGAGCTAATAATATACTGTGATTCTATAAATCGTATAAATGAAAACAAGGTTTGTATTATGAAAATAGATTTTATTCAAAATATAACTTTATCATTTCTTTTTGTTGGTAAACAACTTGAAATAACTATTGAAATAAATATGAACAAGTTATAAATTCATTTTGTATTGTTTGTTTGAATCTTCCCAATGATGTTTATGACTGCAATTAATCAGTCATTTATTGACTAATGTGTATCGTGCACGGATCGCCTCGATATTGCCTTAAGCCACAAAGATGGATAGTGGCTAGAAGTGAAATCCAGGACGCGTGTTTCGTCCTATTCGGAACTTATCGGCTGGATATACCTGCATCCCGAAATTGATGTCCAAACCGGGACTTGAACCCAGTACCGTCCGCTTGAAACGTCATCGCATTATCCACTTAACTATTGACTCCTGGTAGCCACCAGCTTGTACAGTTGAGTGAAGTTTAAATTCAGTTTGTATTGTTCGAATCTTCCCATAGAAGTTATTATTTTTGAATAATTTTGGTTGGTAAACTATTGAAAGCCAAGAAGCACCGGACAACTGGATTGTCCTTGTATAGACAACCTCACCAATGCACATTCACGAACCCACCATATATCGAACCATGGACCCTCAGGTCTCACTATAAATTCTTAACCATTAGACTATTGAGGCAGGATCCGATTGTGTACTTATTTAACATTAATTAATCCCTGATATTGCTCCACCGAATTCCATTGCCTGTGGTGGATAAACGTCTAACACTTAAAGTTATTTAATCCCATTGTTCAAGCTCACTGGAGATCTGAAAGACCTAGGTTCGATCCCTGGTGGGGGCGTGGATGTGAACTACTGAGGAGTTTTATAAGTAGAAAAAAATGCAGTTGTCCAGTGCTTTCTGGCTTTCAGTGGTCAGTGTGTGATGTAAACCACAAAACTAGTTTTGACAGACCCCTTTAGTAAGTAGTTATTACTTTTAAAAACAAACGGTAACAGTTTAAAATATTTAAATGTAACGGATGAAACTGGGTAAAGTAAATACAAATATTGTTGATTATTTTTTGCCACTACGTAAAAACTAGTCTCTTTTCTCAGTAAAGGCAATTGATGAATTGGAAATGATTGAATAATTAACCACAATAAATAAAAGGTACAAATTGTTAATAGGTTGACAGGTGTACTTGTAGTGATAAGAATTAGGTCAAAACTTGAGAAAATAAAATTGTTAAAATGATAACCATTGAAAATTACATAATAAGATGTGCGTGAATAATAGAAATAAATTGAAAAATAAATAAGATGTACAGGATGATGTTAAATTTTTTTGCGGGATCATGGATGCGAACTTCTGAGGCGTTCCATAGTTCGTCCCGTGGTTCCAGGTTTTCAATGTTGATCTAACATTGATCACTTCATAATCTTAATTAAAACTCAACAATTTCCAAAACCTTATAGTGATAATCAAATCTGTTTATCCTTTTTAATCAATGCTATTTATTTGCTGGAAAATTCCCATTATACAATTATGTTTCAATGCTATTTAATCGATTTTTGATTAAATGTGTTATTATTTTGAACAATAATTTGAACATATAATCTTATAGTCAGTTAAAATCAACTGAAAGAAAAATTGGAAAATATTGAAACAATCAATAATTGTCCCAATAGAGTTTCTGAAGTTCTTTAGAAAATGCATTCCCCATAGTCTTGTATTCCAATCTAACTTGAAAAAAAAATACCAAGTCACTGGTTGAACACAACGATTTTAAAATTTTGATTGATGTACTAATAGCATAGAACTTCAAGATAATAAATGAATTTTACATTAATTATTTTAACTACATTCAATAATTTAACGTAAGCAATAAGTCATGATGACATTTTTATCAGTGGGTATGTCTTAACAACAATAACAAAAAAAAAAGATTATCGTTAGCTTATTACTTCATTTTGGTGAACTCATTATTATTTATAATCAGTAGGCGGTAAACTAAGTACATTCAGATATTCTAAAATTTTATGAAAAACTGTAGGCAACACTTTTTTGTTTCTTTGAATGATATGAATAAAAGATACAACCGAATCAATAAATTCTGAAGTATGATTAAATCTAATTATTCATTGTAGAGGCTCAAAAGTTTGAGCTTTAAAACTTCACCAAATACAAAGATTTTATTCGTTATCTAAATTTGGTGTTGAGTTAAGACCTTTTTCAGCTACGGACATTGAATTTAAACTTTAGGTTTTTTTGAAAAAAAAATAGACAACAAGGTTTTTTTGTTGCTATAGTTCCTAATTGATGTGATGGAAAGAAAAAGTCAATTTACGATTGATTTACTCATTATGAGTTTTGTTCAATATCACTTCCATTTTAATTCAATATAGTGATTACTCAATGTAGTGTTTGTTTTCTTTTCTCGTATGATATTTTATTCTGTATAACATACCATATTCTTGTACTCAATTGACATGAACTATGCTCAATATGTGATTTGTTATAACTCAGATATGTGATTTCATCCTAATTATTAATCAAAATGGGTGTACAATCAATATATAAATGAACGTATTTTCTACTAGTGTCGTCGTCGTTTTTTGAGGGTTAATAAATCTTCTTACTTTCGCGTCGTGGGAATTGCAGACGTCCCTCGTTCCGAGTATAAGTGATAAGCGTTTCCGACATAACAATCAGCGATGACCAGTTACAAAAAGTAGCATTAAAACAGTCAAGACAAAAAGCATTCAACCAACAAAGTTATAACACTAATTGAAAATCTTAATGAAATCAATAAAAAGCTTGATAATTATTAGGATTATTT